GGGGGGAGGGGGAGAAGAAACGAGACTGCTCATTAACATCTGAAAGGCTAGACCCAGAAGCATTTGTATCACTTTATTGGTAAGCTTACTGGAACTAAAGTCAGAAAACCTGACTTTCAATAACCACTTCAGAGCTAAGTCGATCATCTAATCCCATTCTTTTTTTCTTTTTTTTAAAAACAGCTTTATTGAAATGTTATTTCCTATACCATACAATTCACTCATTTAAAATGTAAAATCCAATGGTTTTTAGTATATTCAGAGTTGTACAATCATTACCCTATAAAGAAACCCTTACTTCTCATTTCCCTACAACCCCTGGCAACCACTAACCTACTTTCATCTCTACGACTTGCCTTTGCCTATTCTGGATAGTTCACATATGAATGGCATCATACAACATGGTGGCCTTTTGTGTTGGCTTCTTTTACTGACCATAATGGTTAACCCATGTTATCAGTACCCCATTTCTTTTTATGGCTGAATCATCATCATCATCATCATCATCATCATGTCTATTCTAAATCTTGTTCTAGAGCTCACTCCTATTATACAAAGGGCATTCTTCCTTCCTAGGTCTCACTCAAGGCCTAACCAAAATCCCAGCCAATCTCAGTGATCTTGTTTCTAACCTAAACTCACAAATGGCAAGGGAGCCTATTCCTGGCTAGCTGGCAGCTGCCAGGAAGTTAGGAGACAAACAGAAAAGATAGCAGACAGGAGAACTCAAAGCCATTGTGTGCAGTCATCTAGGGCAGCCATCTACTCTGGATCCCTACACTACCGCTGCACATTGTACTCTACAGCAACTGATGCTGGTGATAATGCGCTTCCACCATCAAAAACAAAAATCGAACCAAACAAACCCCAAACCAAAACAACCCCACATAGTGCAATCTACTTAAGGAGTGAAAACTCTGAAAGCATACACACTACAACTAAGATTTGAAAAATTAAAAAATCCTCACCCAAGGATATGTTCCTCATTGATTCCAGAGAGGAGGACAAGGGAGGGAGGGGAAGAGAGAGAGGGAAAGGGGGGGAGAGAGGAAGGAAGAG